TTCTATGTACCGCCCTATTTCTTTTTAATAAGAAACATAGCCAGGTTTAAATTACAGTGACATTTCATTTGTCTCATGAGAATCATAATATACTGTGTTTCATGTGTTTTAGTCCCTCGCAAAGATTACTCTTAAATCTTGTATATCTTCACTGTTTTGAAACCCTTGTGAGTTGTGATCTTAATTCTTGCATGGGTGCAATGTGTTGAAATTGGCATAAAATAAACCAGACTTACCAACTTTCTGAGCATTTTAGCGATGATCCTCGATGTTGGAAAAAAATTGGTCCACACAGGACACCGTATTATTCACCCATTTGTTCTATGTTGTATCATTTTGTCCATTTCAATATTCATCAACACAAACACGAAACCATACAACACCTTCTTGTATAACCTTATTCAAGTTTTGTCATTTTTTTAAGATAATTATGTGTATATTTCAATAAATTAATTATGTGTTTCAAGATTAATTATGTATATGTTTCAAAATGTTGTATACCTTTTCTACTCGAGGCAATTACTGTTACAAATCCCGGTAAACAGACAATTTAGTTAGTGAACATGTAAAAACCATTATTCAAAACCAGATTTGTATTTGTATGTTAGAAATAGAATGAAATTCCAGCTAAGACAATGGAATTTTCTGTGTATACATGTGTGTATTTTTAATTTCTACTTGCTGAATGCTAAGTGTAATTTAGTGCTAGGCTAACTCTTTCTTTTTAATGGTATTTTATGCCTAAAATTTAGACTTTGGATTTTTTTTGTGTGCAAAATACCCAGATAGACATTTCACAAACCTGTCAGAGTATGGGGGCTCTGGGGCCATGTGGTTTAAGTCAAGACCTTCACTTATATGTGTTTGATTCAATTTGTTTTTGTGACTAAAAACCAAAACAAATAAACTCCAATCAAAATAATCAAAACCTCTCCTTTAATATTGCTGTAAGAATAAAGAACATGTTAATAGAAAAAATACGATTTTCAGTTGTTGCATGTTTTCTTTAGTGTTTTTTTACCCCTAAACTATAACTTTATGTTTCCATTTGCAATTATTTTAAATTTCCAACCAAGTTAGATATTTATAATGATGGTATCAATAATTTCAAATGATAGCTTAATTAAGTGATAGAATTTTTTTTTGTTCTAAAAATAATGGGTAAAGTATACCTATGTATGTTTTGAATGTTGCATAATCAGGTACCCATTCAATAATGTATTTTCTTGCATAGCGGACTGGCGTTTCCGTGAGTTTTACCCATGACGGAAATTTCATCTGGCATGGGGGGTGCCAGATGAGTCGCGTGCCAAACAACAACGTCATTTTAGCGCTCTTTATGAATGAACCGCGTTAAAATGACGTCGTTTTAGAAGGAAATTGTGTGCATAGGATGACGTCATTTCGCCGTTGTTATTTAAGTTGAAACTTCATACGCAATTGTAAAAAAATAGTTATGAATGAAATGACTTTAATTTCCATGAACATATATCATATTGAGGTAAACCATTTTAAATATGAAAAAATATGGCAGAATATGCAAGAAAAAATATCTGACATATGTTTGCGGTTCGTATCGGAATATCCGTCCCTCGGGAACCCACCCATGGGCGGTAACTCGGCAAGCCTCGTTACCGCCCAATGGGCGGGTTCCCTCGGGACGGATATTCCGGTCCGAACCGCAACATATGACAGATATTATTAGTGTTCTACATATATGTTGAAATAGATAATCAGAAATTGTCTTATGATTGTAAATATGTTCATATTACTTCTGTTTGCTTTTGAGTGTATGTTTAGTCTGTCTGTAATTTCAATACTGGACCCCTGCTCAACATAAAGCTTATTTTTAACAGAACCTCCCGTAAATGATTGGCACTGACCAAGTTACGTTTGTACTTTAATCTTTACTGTGTTGTGTAACTCTAGTTTATTATTCTGAAGAGTCATAGCCATTTTATTGCACACTTTTCCAACCAAACCTTTTAAAATTGTAGAAATTTGCCCTGACATTCTTGGATCAGTATACAACTGTACAGTTACCTAAGGGTGTAGACCTCTAATAAGTGCCTCATAGAAAACTTTAAAAGAAAAAAAAAATCCCATATGCAGGTATATTTGCCTGAATTTTTTTATTTTTTTTAAGCATATTAAATCCACCTTAAACAAAATTTAATTTTGAAAAAAAGAAATAAGTAGCAATGGTGAAACATAATTTCAGAGCTATTGCAATGTAGCCGCTCAAACATCCTATCATATTTCATGTATAGATGACACATAACTATGAATTAATACAGAAATGGTCATGTTTTTTTCAAACTCGCTATGTTACAAACAGCATAAGCGTTTCAGTTGAAATGCTAGGCATCCAGCAATACAAAAATATATGTAAAGAGGCATCCCATTTACCCTCCTCCAGTAACATTGCCAGTTTTGTTAAAACAATAAACCAAACCAACTTACAAAAACCTCAGATAAAAATAAAATTAAAAGAAAATGCAGCCCCAGGGCACTTATTAGAAACAATATGGTATATTGGTTTTTATTTAGTTTTGCTAGCTCTATGCCATTGCTCAGTAGCCTTTATGTTATATTTACATGTTAATATAGCCAGATTATGTAATTGGTAGTGTATATTGACTAATTGTTGTCAGGGATTTATAAATATATGTTTAATTTCATGGTTGTAGATTGTCTTTTCACGCCAAATGAAAACATTTTTCAGTTTCTTAATTGGTGTCGTTATAATATTTACTTAAAGGTACATTTTTGAAAATTCTTAAGATTTAAGATCATACACAATATATTTTGGAATATTTCTTAAGATTTCAGTAAAGTCATTTTGTTTTTTCATAAAGGCTAATGTTACCTTAAAATTACCATTTATATAAGATAGTTTGAAGGAAAAAAAACAGGCCAAACAAATAAGTATTTGCCTTTGAATAAATATTTACTGAAATTTGAAAGACTTTTTTAATGAGAAAGTTTGTTAAAATTGAACAATGGTACTACAGCATACTACATGTACTAGAAAAGTCTCATGGAATCTGTGTTATTTATTTACAACATTTTCAATCATTTGACTGGCTAACTTGTAATACTGCTTCTTCAGTTAACTGATTTTACTGGTTAACCAAATAGTCTGATGTTTTACTTGCTAACTGATTAGGTTACATTATTCAGTAAATTTGATTGAATTAAACAATACCTAGGGACTTGGGTATCTGATTAAGTATCTAAGTATCTGGTTTTACAAGTGTACTTGCCACACTAGTTAACATGTTTGGCTGGATAACTTGCATAACTGATTTACCTGGTTTACAGCCTTAGATTATTTATCAATTTATCTGGTTTACTTTATTATAATTATCAGTTCAACTGGTTTACTAGTATAAATTATTGTTTAATAGATTTAACTAATTAATTATTTCAACTGATTGATTTGGTTAACTGTTTTTTTTTATTTATCAGTTTGACCTGTTTAACTAATTTATAAAGGACAATGGTCTGTTCAAATAACATAAGTTTGTCAGGTTTATTTATGTAAAACTGTTTAAAAGTTTTCTAGTTTACTTGACTAAATTGATTAACAAGCTTTTCTGGTTCATCATGCTTTTAAATAGACTGGTTTACTTGATAAAGCAGTTTACTTTGCCTTGTTCATTTTAATACAACGTGTTGAAAAGACTAACTGGTTTATATGTGAATTTGTGACATCACATCTGTATAATTGTCTAATTGATAGTTTGTCTAGATAAATGTATAGATGGGAATTTCTAGCGTGATTGTATTGTTGATTTTTACAGATTGTCAATTAATTGGGATATTAAAATTTTATTAGATATGAATATAGTTTGACTTTTTATTTATAAACCAGCCCATTAGAAAGCCTAGGTGATGGAAATGGCCGAGAAGTTGCGAACATCACGCCTATTACCAGTAGTACTTTCGAGGGGAAATCAGGATTGTCATGGTGAGCTATTAGTATCAAAGGGGGATGCTACGGCGTCCGTCGTCATGCGTCAACAATCGTCTTCTTCTCTCAAACTGCTGGGCAGTTTTAATTTAAATTTGGTCTGTTTCATCCTTGTGACAGCCGCACTTGAATTTGCTCATATCGTTTCAATTGGTCCCTTTTAGGGGTCAACAGAGCTAAAAATAAAAATCTTTAAACATCTTCTTCAGCTGAACTTATTGATGGATGATCACCAAACTTTGTCTGTAGCATTCTTAAGTAGTCTTTTATCAAGTTTGCTCGTATTAATTTGATTGCCACCTTTAAGTTGGAGTTGAGCTGAATTTGGCTTTCGGCAAGTTCATTTGAAATACACTGCAAAAAAAAATTCTAGTGAATCATGGCCTTCTTGTATGATTTACACACACATGGCCTTCTAAAGAAATGACTGTCATGAATATTTCAAAGATGCTAACCTAAGTTTGCTGGTCTGGATCCATGCTGGTCGCAAACCCCTTATGTTGGTTTTGTCGTTCATGAAATATTCAATGTTTCATCAACCGCCAGCGAACATGGTTATTATTATCTGTACTAATTTATTGACAAAGATATAAGGCTACATCTTACGTAATATTCTTATAAATTTCATGAGCAGTAAAATTACGTTGTTCCCATGATAATATGTTAGAATTGTTACAAAAAATGTCCATATTGTTCAACACACATGAGTATAGTGTACGTTCACTGAGTAAAATGTTCCGGAAAAAAATTGGCTGCTCATTTTGAATGTAAGAATGATTTTGCGCATGCGTCATTTGCTCTCAAGGAAATATATACAAACATTTTTTTACATAAAAGTATTTTAGAAAAAAATATTTTGAAAATTCATAAAAAAAATGTTTGCAGCAGATATATAATTGATATTATATATACACTTTAACCCAGAAATGCACAAAGAGGGGCAGAACAACCTTCGGTTAAGGGGAGGGGACACAGGTGGCCACCGTACAAAACAAAGACATAACAAAGTTATTTTTAGAAAACATATTATTTTGTATAAAACTTAACGGATATTCAGTTTACAAAATCTCGTACATAGTAGAACGGGTGATGTGTGCCCACATTGTGGACAATATAAATTACCAATTCAATCAGTTACTCGATATACATGTTCATTTAAAACACAAGGTACATGTAAAATAGAATCCAATCACGGAAGTATTCCCAATTCCAGTAAGCTGTTTCTTTAGTCATAATATATTACAATGTAAGAGATCTTTTTTTTTATAAAAAAAATCAATTGTTTTAACTTGACGAAAACATCAATCTGAGTCCTTTTGTTATTTTTGTATTTCTTGACTGTCGTTACTGCAGATTCGGATCCTATATAATGGCTATCACAGTCGGTCACACTCGCACACAATGACGTCTGCTATACAATAACGTTGAGAGACAATTATTCTAAGGTAATGCACTAAGTGGTTTGGCTTCTTCAACAATAGTAGATGCACCGGACTGGTCAGGTCCTAGAACTGTTTCACCTCCTACAAAATATTACTTTATACGATAATACTGTAAATATATTATGCTGTTTGGTCCGCATTTTTGTTTTGTTTTTGTTGTTGTTTCTTTGTTTATTCAGCATTATAGACAATTTTTACAGTAAGAATGGAAATAATTTAAAAGGATTTTTATCGTTCCCACCACAGTTCTATTTTGAAAATTTTTAATTGTCGTTGAAATGTGATTATTACTCATTTTGGACATATAAAAGTTAATTGATAGGAACTATTTTGGAAAGGAAAGATCCTTCTAGCGCAATGAAAAACAAAAAATTAAAACTGAGTCTAATCAGGAAAGAAAATGAAATGCAACATCTGGCATGCCCTCCAGCACCGGCTCAGTTTACTCTTCAATTTAAGATACTAAAATCAATGATCCCGAAAGACCAGCACAAAATGGAGCACGGCGACACAACGCTTTTATATATGGATATTATAGTATAAGGCAATGAACAGTAAAATAATATATTTTTACTGCGTATAAAAATAAACTTACCTGGCGCTATTGTGAAGGAATTCGAGCTAGAACTAAATTCTTGCTTTGAAGAAATAGTTGGCATTTCATTGCCGGTATTGGCCATTCCATCAACAGCGAATGTAAGTATAGATGGTCCTGTAAGGTAGAACACAAGCTTAGTTACAATATTGTAAAAGGACAACTTTAGCATGTCATCGTTAAAAATCGGTAACTCTGTTCATAACTGATCATAATTATCATGTGTCTGCCTTACAAAGTCGACGCATGACAGTACGACAATAAAACGCGAAGCACATGATATAAAACACGACAATGCAACACGACTTAACGGCAATGCGACATGACACAAACTTGTTAATGCCATGGTCCAAAGTAGGACAAACACTCATTTTCAATCGACACTGGTCTGATCACATTTGCATGCGTCGCCGACATTTAGAATAACACTAATCGGTTTCCGTACAAAACAAACATAAAATGATCACTTTATAATAACAATAACATTAATTTGTTATCATTATGTTTCTAATGTTTCTAAACTAAACAATGTCCTTTTCGTATACATGTAAGGTGGTTAAATAATTTGACAAGCGGAGTAAACATAATAAGTAAATGAAACGATAATCACTTTAATTCGCCTCATTAAAATTGTATTCATGCTCATTTTTACAATTGATCATGGGCACTGTTGCAATTCCTGATTGTAAATTTCAGTGATTTCAGCTTCAAAATCTACACTCTTTGATTTAGAATGAGTTCATTGCAAATTTCAGCGATTTCCGGCCTGTATGAACTGATTCCTTTTGAATTCCAAGCAGTTCATCTTAAACTTCAGTGATTTTTCAAAATGCGTTGCCAAAAACTGATGTAAAGGAATTTCATTTACTGATCTGAAGCGTAATATTTTGTCAATGTTAAACTTGTGATTGACGAGAAATATAGGTATCGATACATGTATATTATATGTATATGAAAGTATAAGTTCTATTATTTAATACAAATGATTTATTTGAAGGATCGAGTTTCTATTTGACCATTTATTTTAATTCTATTTTATACCACTGATGCATTGCTATGCATTATACTCACCTTCTGGGCCTACAACCGGCGGTGGGGGTGCATTGAACGTAATCGGTGGCATCTCTGAAACATAATTTGAAAATTAACTGATTAATTAACTATTAATTAATAGTAGTTTGTTTAAGTAAGCATATAAAGAATAGAGGGTGAAACAACTTTAGTATAATTATCGAATGATATATATTCTGATGAGATATTCTTCTATGATCATTTATTTTTTGTTCAAATGATTCAAGTCAAGGAACCATAACAATGACATATTTAATAAGAATTTACCATTTGGTGCTTCGTTAGTATTGTCGGTCATGAAAAACGAAAAGTCTTGATTTTGATTCAAAGATGCTGCAAATGGTCCATCTTGTACCGACATAATACTTCTAGTTTCGCTCGTATTAGTTTCAGTTGTACTTCCGGTGGCGTCTGACGTGGTGACGGTGTTTCCGGTCATGGAGAGTGTTGGTTCCAAACTTAGATCAACTACGTTATTTGAGCCTGCAACTAGTAGTAAAAAGAAAACCCAAAAGTGGTTTACTTATTTTCTATCATTTTATTCAGTATTCAATATTGGTAGATTGATGATATGGTAAAACTTTGAATATTCTGCACGTTGCACTAATATGTATATACATGTATATGTATTGATTCTCTTTATGCATTGATATGAATAACTTTTCTATTTTGTGCAGTATGTTAAAGTAAAAGAAAGTTTAAGTAAAGCATAGTTTTGAATCAAATAAAATTAAAAGTTAAAATAATATGAGCCGTGCCATGACAAAACCAACATAATGACATGTGACATGTGCGTCTTTGCGACCAGCATGGACCCAGACCAGACTGCGCATCCGCGCAGTCTTATCAGGATCCATGCTGTTCGTTTACAAACCCTATAACAAGTAGAGAAACTGATAGCGAACAGCATGGATTCTGATCAGACTGTGCGGATGCGCAGGCTGGTCTGGATCCATGCTGGTCGCAAACCCATTATGTTGGTTTTGTGGTGACGCTGCTCCATTATAATGAAATCTTACCTGATTCGAATGAGCGGAAAGCTGTGTTGATGTCACCAACTGGCTGAAAGTCGGCGCCTTGGTTGGTGCTGATCGTTTCCGTGACAACAACTCTACTGCTACCTGCATCATTGTTTACAAAACCTTTATCACCTAGAATATTTCCTACTTCAACCAGACGAAACTCTGCATTCCCGGTGGCTCCCCCTGTCTCTACTGTGCGCTCCGAGACGGTAGTGGCCGCATTGTTGGAACTTTGACTATTTGAGCCAAATGTCATACCGCCATTTTGTTGATTTGTTCGTGTTTCAACTACTGTTGGTCCATCTGAGACGATAAATTGGCTATTTTGACCGGCGTCTCCGGTCTGAAATCCACCCTGACTTGAACCGCCGAACTGAAGTCCCCCTTGACTGGAACCGCTAGTTTGGAAACTTTGACTTGAGCTTCCAAATTGAACGTTATCCTGGTTTGTAAAACCGTTACCCTGTCCAGCGTTTGTTTGAACTACAGTACCACCGACACCGATTTGCCCTTGATTAGGTTGTAGTGCAGGAATTTGTGGGACTGGCCCTGGCTGTAGAGGCTGGAATTGGATATTAAAGTTTTGTGAAGATTGTGTATCAGTATTAAAGGCAGGGCCTGCACCAGCGTTATTAGATGGTCCGACGAAACCAAAACTTTGTGTTACCTGCCCTTCGCTCCTACTTCCGCCTACTGATTGTCCGGATTGGCCAGCAGATGATGCATCAATGGTTGGTCCAAATGTTGCTGGTCGAAAGCTTGATCCATCAGAAATGCTTTCGCTTCCAATTGAATTGATACCATTACTTTGTCGTCTGGTTGGTGTTGCATCAAAGCCTGGTACACTAGAAGTTTCAACGTTTACCCCAAATCGCTGACCAAATGAACTTGCAGGAAAACCTGGGAATCTGGAGGCTTGTAAATCCGTTCCAGAAAGAACATCTGTTTGAAATCCACCTGCTGGAAACATAAATGGATCACTTTGGCCGAAGCCTGGGGCGCCGGCGGGGAATGGGAGTGCTGGTCCGTTTGGGAAAGCAGGAATACCAACTGTAGATGACCCACTCATGTCTAAGCCGGGTGGGAAACCAGACTCAGTAGTAAATCCTGGCCCACGTTGTCTTATTACTGGTCCCTGGGTAGCTTGCGAAGGAAAAATTGCTGAACCTTCTGTAACGACACAATAATTACATATAGTATAAAACTTATTGGAGTAAAGGTTTTCAGATATTACATGTTTATTCTTTTTAATGTTACTGCATAATTTAACAATCTGATAAACTTTGGAAAAACGTTTGACAAAAATTAAGCATGTCTATAGATGAAAGAAAAAATATTGAAAAAAGAAACAAACCTTGACCTTGAGTCTGGCTTCCAGTTGAAAATTGACCACCTGACGGCTGACTAAAGGAAAAGGTTGGACCTGTAAATTGACTTCCAAATGGACTACCAACCGAACCTCCAATTGGGCCTCTAAATGGGCCCATCCCTGGTCCCCTCATAGGGCCAGTCATTGGTCCTCTCATTGGCCCGCCCATTGGCATTCCAAATGGTCCACCAATTGCTCCTCCCATTGGTCTTCCAGCCATGGGTCCACCCATTGCACCTCCTATAGAACTTCCCATTTGTCCAGAAACTTGTCTTCCCATTGGTCCTCCGACCATTTGTCCTCCCATTGCACCACCCATAGTCCCCCCCATTGACCCACCCATTGGACCAGACATTGACCCACCCATTGGACCAGACATTGAACCTCCCATTGAACCTGTCATTGTGCCACCAAATGACCCACTCATCGACCCAGGGACCTGTCCTCCCATAGGTCCACCCATGGCTCCTCCCATAGGTCCACCCATGGCTCCTCCCATTTGTCCACCCATGGCTCCTCCCATTTGTCCAGATACTTGTCCTCCCATCGTGCTACTTTGTCCGCCCATTTGACCTGCTCCAACTTGACTATCGCCTGGCTGACCTTGAGCCGTTGGGGTAACTGTAATATTACAGATTAACAAGATTTCATTTAAAATTTTATGTGCAGGTATAATTTACGGTATTTTTTTATATTTTATTAAGTTTATTAATTAATGTAGTAAGTTTTTAAACTAAACACCAAGGATATCTAACTCTCTTTTAAATTAGTTACTGAAGCGCCCTCTGTCCTACTCGGTTAAATGGACATCCACTTTAAGAAAGAATCATTTGAAAAAGCCTATCGTTATTTTCAATATTTTACGGCTGAATTTCTCATCAATATTTTTGTCTTTTATCTAAAGGACAGAAATCGTGTATATGAACAATCTTGTGAAAATATTAAGTTTTATCTAACAAATAGTATCGCAGTATTCTTATGCTTTTCACAGGCAAAATATCCATACCATGGAATAGGTAACTAATGAGTTACTTTTAAACGGTGTGGTGCGTGAAAATGAATGAAAACTTACCAGACGGTATCTGGACAACAGATGGGACATTTGGAAATACTGGAAAAACACAACAAATATATAGCATTAATTTATAATCTTGGTAGACAATATGTGTAATTTTATGTCAGATTTTATCTTAAATATCTTTGTTTTAATGATTTTTCTTTATCGAGTTCGCAAGTTATACATTGTAACTAGAACGTGCACACTTGTTTTCTACCACTTGTAAACGTGCATTAATTTTAGGTACAAATATATTAAAGTGGATTAGCACATTTCCGTAAGTATTACAAATATTGATACAAACAATAGCAATGTATCAATTAAATATATTTATTAATTATTTTTGAGAAGAAGAATTGTTTCACCCATTAGCAAAATAACTAATACATGTATTTAGCAATATTTATAATCGAAACATCTGAAGTTTGACAGAATTGCCGATAAGTTGCAGTTGTGAATATCTATACATTTTTTTATAAAATGCATTTACCGATACATACCAAAATAAAGATTCAATTTTTATTCTATATTTATATTGTTGTTGCTATTGTTGTCACTGAAACACTTTTATTATGAAATGGATTGTATTAATGGAGTCACTACTTTATACAAAATATTATTGCATGCATTAGGTAGTAAGTATGCTATACAGCTTATGCAATTTTTGTAACCTCTTGGCCCTGTTGGTTCGCGCGACCTTTGTCCTTGACCCTGACGTTGCAATCGTCTGCTACGCTGTGCTTCGAAGCGTTCCCTGCGCCTTGAAGGACGTTCTGGCATTCTGCGGGGACCTAAAGGAGGTTGAAGTGGTTGTAATCTAAGTTCTCCAAGCTGAGATTGACTGAGCGGAAGCGCGGGTGGTAAAAACGGGGGGCGTGGAGGAAGGGGAAACCGCTCTCCAGGAAATCGTGGAGGGGGTCGCCTGCCCCTGTTTTGAGAACTGTCTTGAGGTCGTGACATTCCCTGTATGTCTGACCTTGAACCTTGAGGTTCTGCGTTTGAAGGAAGAAAGCCTGGCATAGGTAGGTCATTCGGTGATCTGACGTCTGTATTCGCCCTTGACCTTTGCTCAACAGTTCCCCTATTTGCTTCTAAAAATTCTTCAGCTAAAAGCAGAACATGCAAGCATAGCGTAGGGCATTATAACTATCTAGTTATGCTAAATCTACACGTTAATGAAAATAGCGTTTGCGATGGTTGCTAAAACATAGAAAAGCTATGAAACATCCCACTACAAAGCACTACAAATATAAAACAAAAACTACTATAAAATGTTAGATGCATATAACATTTGCAGTTATCTAACATATTATGTAATGGTTAGTAAACTACAAAATATACACGTAATTAATAATTGAAGTATGTTAATATTGTACATATAGCATTGTAGCCGTTTCATTTTAACTGACTGAATCAACCATATACATATAGACATATGTTCTCATGCATATTTTTAATTGTCCTGTTTGTTGTTATTTCAAAACTATGGTTATATCTCAAAACTATTTTGCAGTTAAAACAACACTATACATGTAATGAACTTCAACTAAGTAAAGTTAAAAATGAACATGAGGATCATGCCTCCTAGAACTAAAAAACAGACTGTTATGAAAAAAAGAAGTATGTAATGCTTTTCATCATGCACGTGTAAGAAGACTACAGCTAAGTAAAATTCTACTAATACGTTTAAAACAAGATGAAGGTTACCTTGAGTTGGTTGTTGTCCGAATATGTTGCCACTTCCGCCTGAAATGATAATTATAAAACACGTTGATATACGAAACAACGTGAAAACACGTGACAGGCCCAAAGCACACCCGAGTAATGAAATATTACATTTTAAATGATACAAAGTAAAAACAATAACCAATAGCATTTAAAAAAAATTTATTTTCTCAAAAGTAAATGAGTGTTTTTCCCTTAAGTAAGAATTAAATTGAAATTATAAAAATTTTTTGTAAATTTAATGAAATTAAAAAAATTATTACTTTTTAAATTCTTATTTTTTTAATGTAAATTGATCATTCGTATAAAAAGGGGATGTTTTGGGCCCAAATTATGTTAGTAACGCTATTGTGTTTTTTCTTCCTAAAGAAAATTTTTTAGTAATGTAAAACCCCTGTTTTTAAAAGGGGTTTTTTGGTGAAAATATTTTGTAAAAAGATATGTAAAAAAACTAAATAACTACATGAAAGTAAATATCTTTATAAAAATGTGATTTTTTATAACTTTAAGCTGTTTTGCAGATTGTCATTTTCCGTTTAAAAAATTTTTAAAAAATTTAAAATTTATTGCTCCATATCATATTCGTAATATTTAGTCATTCGGAAATTCGAATACAGTAATGCGGCTAGATAATAAGTTATTTTCTCTGGGACTGTACTTGAGTTTGACGGGAACGCTGAAAAATTTTATTCTAAAATGAACTGACTTTGTTTTTATAGTCTGTTTATAAAAAAAACGTAAATTTTGCAAATATTTTCTAGTACTCTTATATGCGTTACCTGTAAACAAAAATTTTTTAGCATGTATTTATTTAAAATTCATTTTTAAAAAGTGGATAAGCAGTCTAATTCCTGTATCCGCAAAGGTAAAAATTGAAATACATGTAGGCCTATATTGGCTCACAAAAAAAGGTATAATGATCGGAATAAACATAAACTTGTAAATCATAAGCGACTATTTTCGAAAAAAAAAATGTTTTTAAAAACAAGACATTGTACTCATTTAATTATATCGGCTTGCATGAAATGGTACATTGCATTTATTTCGTTTATCCACTGTAATTTTTGTAACATGCATATCATAATTTGCTAAACCAAATCTACTACATATTTTGTACGGTATTATAACTGTATAAACGCATTTTCATGCAGTTTTATCCTCGAGTTTCTAGTTCAGTATTAGTGTAAGTGTCTACACTATTCTTTCAACTCTATATTCTCGATACCTTGTTGCCCTGAAACACCCGCCGGGCCTCCTGAACCCATAGACGCAATACTATTCTCCCCGACGGTGGTCATACCGCCGGTGGTTGAGATTGGCAGACCTTCTGGGCCCCCGAATGTGGCTTCAGTCGGGAAACCCAAAGTTGATAAGTCAAAACGACTAATATCAGTCGGTCCAGTTAACCCGAAAGGACCAGGTCCAAACATTGGCCCCGGTACGAATGGAGAAAAGGGGGTACCCAGAGGTCCGAGTGGTGAACGTAAAAATCTACCCCTGAGAGCTGTATGTTTAAGAAAAGAAATGAATACAATAATATAGAAAACAATTCTTCGTAGCAAAAAAAATTAAATACATAAATCTTTAAATAAATCAGATAAGTAGATAACTATATTTCCATTTTGCGAAGCGGTCCATGAATTTCAAGCATATATGGTGTCAAATATATATGATACTAAATAACGTTTGAAATATTTTTTAGAGAAACACACTTCTTGTTTGAACTATGAACTTTTAGGACTTGAAACTTAAATCAGCCTAAACATTGCTTTAAGAAGTTGTGTTTTCTTCCTTTCTTTCTTTCTTTCTTTCTTTCTTTCTTTGTAATGTTTTTTTATTTTATTTTTTTGTTAAGGGTTGGAAATATTCTATGTAAATATATTCGCTTTTTCGTTTTTTCGATATAGAAAGTTTGCTGCAACTGAAAAAAAACCATTTTAATACCCCCAAAAACCTGCCGACCTTCTTAACATGAAAAAAGCTAAAAAAAAAGCTCAAAAAGAGCGTGCATTTTATAAAAAAGAATAAGAAAAAAACAAAAATTGTTTGAAGTGTATACAGCTATAGTGTGTTTAAAAATTATTGTTTAATTTTAATATAATAATTATTTCAAATTTTGTTTGAAATAAAAAAAAATTTTAAGTTGGTGTTAGTAGTCTTTACTTAGATCAGGAGTTATGAAAATTTAATTGTCCAGAGTGTTGCCCCGACCCTTCTGTGTACGATTTCAAGCAGTATACCCGTACTAGCTGCCCTTCACTTTCGCAAGGAACTGATTATTTCTGTACACGCAAGAGCAAAGGTACAGTGCTAATGACCGTAGATAGGATTTCATGATCAATCACAACGAAAGTGACATGCGCCGTCCGGGAATCGAACACGGGTTACACGATTCACATTTCAACGCTCAACCTATTGAGCTAACTAGATGGCATAAATAAAAATATGGTAGTAAATTGCCTAAAAATGCACAAAATCATTGCTAAACGGATAAAATCCTGCTGCAGATTTATTTTTTATTCCGGAATATACTACATTTGTGTATTTTGTTTACGTACAAAATCCATATGTGTTAAATAACCGAGAATGCTTTGCTACAACACTTTCGAGAATCGGTCAAAAAATTATGGAGCCAATATTATTATATTGTTTATTTTATTAAAATATTTCATAAGATATAGCTTTATACCATTTAAATACGCAAGAACTATATCTTTGAATTTATTTCATGGGTGTAAGACAAGCGGAGAACATTTTAAGCCGTTACACGTTACATGCAAGTTCGTATTTACAGAAAAATTACAAAAATAGTTAATGGTTTTCGTATTTAAAAACCAAATGTATATCCAATTGCTATTAGATTTTGTATCCCTAGTTGGGCTTAATAAGGGGAATTTACTGTTTATGTAAAATAGTGTATATACAAGGTTTAAGCAGGGTGGATCTGGGGCAATTAAGCGAAATTTCAAGCGTCAGGTTGTTTTACGATAAGTTTAAAGATTTTTAAAAGCTTTCTTTATTTAACCACCATTGAGTCCGCTTCTTAGGAACTAACCAGTACCGGTGCAATATAAGGAAACATGGTTGCAACACAAATAGGGTTCAAACCCATGGTCCATGGGCTGAGCTACCGACATCTTAAACACCAAGGCATGGTTATTATACGGTTGTAATATATATGAGAATATATATGTATAAGCAGACAGGCTGGTTGGTGCAGCACTTTATTATTTTGTTCACCAAGTTATTTAAGAAACTCACCAGGCGGAGGGATCCCTGGGCCTAAAACAAAACATAAAAACTTTAATTCATATATAACAATATTTATAAGATCTAAGTATTACATAACTTGAAAAGTTCTAAATTTGTACAAGAAAAAAGGCGTTATTGTATGGTAAAAGTAATACTTGTATCTAAGACACGGTTGTTATGGCAATATTATGAGGGCTCAACAGACATATTTTTATATCTTTATTACCAATATTTACTCTCATTTTTTAGATAGGTTGTCATGTTAAATAGATATTTACTACTTGTTTTCAAATAGTCATTATTTATCTATTACATAATGATATAAATTACTGAATTATTGATACAATATTGACATGTTATTATGGACTAATGATCTATATTATTAATAATAATAATCATGAATGAAATTGACACTTTTATGACAGTCTACACATTAGGTAGGCGGTGTAGGTCGGGTTGAACTAATACGCCTGTCTTGACCAACATTAAGTTCACATGTACATAAGTTGTTGTTGTTGTTGCTGCGGGGGAGGGGTTAAGTGACTGTTACTCTCTGTGAAACATTATTTGTGAATTTCTTCTTATATGGATATTTTGAGATTATTTTTATATTTCACTGAAGCAGTGTAGCTTTATTTAACTTCGTGTGCATGATTTCTGAATATATATGTACAATGTATGTTTAAATGAAAATAAGTTTCATACCTCCAACGCCTGTTATTCCAAAAGGGAATCCTCCTAAAAAATAAATTATATAAAATGAATATAAACATTCAAGCAATAAATGGACAAAAAAAGTTATAATACTTTAGTCTCAATCACCCTTGAACAAAATAATTTCTAATATTATCCATTTGATATTCATTCCAGAAAAATATATTAATATAATATGAACAGGTCCTAACTAAACATTTTGTATCATTTATAGATAATGTGATACTACAAACATGTTGTAATCCGTATTAAAAATATAAAAATATAAATAAATAAACATGTAGAAGTAAAACCATTCGAGGGTGGGTGAATTATTTTTATTATTATTTCAAAGGGTGTAGTTCTTGTACTTTTCACTATATGCTTGCAGGAATTATGAGAAAATGTTACCGCATATTTTCACCGAAATATTGCTACATTGAAACATTTCTGCAAGCATAGATATGTCAAAATAAGTCAATATTTCCATCTAAATGAACGGGAAATTGAATGTTTACGTTGAAAAAAGGGTAAGAGTGCAATCGCATCTTTTCGGCCCTTTCCGTCAAACTTCGGATTATGGATAATAGCCAAGATGTTCCAATTGATAGTTATCACGTGCAAGCATGGCGGGAAAAGTAAAGGACCTTCAGTTTAAAGTTATGTACCACTGAAATCGGCAAATATTGGCCTTGAAAAATGGTATATGTTTATTATTCAAATACTGAAGGATAAAAAAAATGCATTAGCGGTGACCCACTGCAACCGTAAACAAATGTCAAGTGATCACCCATCCTGTCAATCATAGATACGTAATTCTCATTGAAAGAATAATAAAATATTAATATTTATATAGCATTATTAGTACCAAAATAATTGAAAATTGTAATAAGAATATAATGAAAAAGAAACAGTGCATACCTCGTCTAAGGGCTAATTCTCGTTGTCGTAGTAACACTGAAAATTATTAAAGATATACATTATTATAATTAAAGGTACAAGAATTTTTAAAAAAATCACACATCTATCGATATTTTACAATGTACAGAATATTGGTTTAACCGGAAGTGCTGAGCCTTTGCCACAAGAGCCTGGGCAGTATAAACATACTATTCTATACTGATACAGTAGCTTCATCTTCGATAAAAGAAATTCCTTACACTTTCAATTGTCTGTTCTAAAATCAAAGAAGGACAAAACCATAGCACACATTTTAGAGGGTCAGAGTTTAAATATTCATTTATGCTTAAAAATACAACAACTATATGTTGCAGTGTGCGTTCATGTACCACTCATGGCGTCAAACAATTGCATTCGAGTTATTAGTTAGGCGTATTTGCGCGTGCAGAAATAAATTCTTTTCTTTTTTGCTAAATGAATTGATTACATAAATATGTATTTTTCCTTCCGTGTGACCAGATGTCTTAGCTAGATATCCACCAATGGACATTGAATGTTTTAAATACGCAATTAATCGATCATATTCGTGTAGGTTCTATTTATTAGTTATTTGTTCTTCCTTATATTTGCATA